CGACACGTAACGAACGTATGCGCACTCCCACACGCAGCTCTGGCGCGGTACTCACTCAACACTGACCACCCACGTTAGGATCGCGCACCTGTATTATACACGTCGTGAACGTGCGCGCACACACATACAGCTCCACATGCGATACCCACTCTTGCGCCGCTCTGCGCCGCGCTGGCCGCTCACGTTATGATCGCGCACCTGGGGTACGCCAATTACGCACGCCGAGAGCTTACGCATACACCGTGCCACACGCGTTCACACTTATAACACGAGATCACAATCAGCTATTAATGATTTATTATCCGCTACCTGGAACTAGATGTTAAATCAGTGAGTCGACGAGGCTGGCCTACGCTGATACCTCTATACCTATTCCCGATGTATCGGCTATTATCCTACTTCACCTCCCCACTCACTGTTTGGTGCCCGCGGAGGTTCGCTGCTCTCTGCGCTAACAGCGTACCTCGATGCGTCGCACGGACGTTCGGGTCGCTGGCTGGAGCTGCTGCTGGTCCGCTGGCCTGGAGAGAAGAGAGCTATTTCCCCTCTGCGTCCCTCTATTTATCCTCCCTACCTCAAAAGGGATGCTGCGCTAAACAATGGGCTCGCGATCCTCTGGCACGCGCACGGCGGTTCTGGGCGCTGTTGATATGCTAATCAGTGTGCTGCGTGCAAGGCGTAAATCCTAATTAATCCCTTACCCTCCCTAACAATGGGGCCTGCGCGCTCAAGCGCAATTATCCTAACCCTCCATGACTATGCGCAACAGCCCCTGTGATCCCGCTATTCATGCTGTCCCGTGCCTCCCCTGCTTGCCCCGTCGACTCGTGGGGGTGTGTGTGGGGGGAAATGCGCCTCAACCGCGGTGGCCGAATGCCCCACGCCGCGACCACACCATATTAAGGCCGGCCGCAGCGCCGCGGTGCCACGTAGCACGGGGGAGGTCATCCAATTCCCTGATCGCCGGAAACCGTGAGAATTAATCCCGATAAGGGTCTCTCGGATAAAAACCGGTCGGCCAGGCGACCTCCCCTCGGAGCTCTATGGGGGGGGGGGGGGGAAATGAGTGCGGGTGTGTTCATGTGAGGTGAGGGGGACGCGGGGTCGGCTCCGTTGCTTGGTGGTGGCGAGGTCGGGGATTTGGTGCCTGCCGAACGGCTTCGCGGCGGCGGCATCACACAGGACCGCCTTGCGTCCCCACTTCTTCAGCATCACCGTCTCGTGTCTTCCACGTGCATTGCGGCTCTTTAAATACTGAGCTTGCCTTTTACCGAACTCGAATAAAATGGCTCTCCTTGTAATGTTGGTTGCCTATCCTTGGTATAGAGCGACCAGTTGTACGACTAATTCAGACCGAATACTCCTTTGTTTGGCCACCAGCTCTGATGACATAAACATTTAGAATATCCTTCTAGGATCCAAAACAACGGATGGTTAAGATCGGTTCACATTCGCTGTGTGTGTGATCGGCCCCGTGCTCGCTAACAGCCCTTTCCACCTCGTCTGTTAAAGGCTGCACGGGGGATCTTTGTCTTTGTCTCAGGGCGTGAAATGAAGACGCGATGGGTTCCACTCGGCACCCGCCGGTCCGGCGCAGTCTGCACCACCCGGTCTCGGCAGCCAACGCCCTCGACGACTCCCAACCAGCGACTCTCATCCCATTGAGGCCGCTGCAATCAACATCCATCTTGGTCCGTGCCGAGTCCATTACGTGACAGTGTTTGTAGTACTCATCATATTAGTATTTTACATCTGTAAGTGTGGATTGCTTTGATGTTGTCTGCCTGGCCGAGTCGCACTTGAACTGCTTTGTGTTTCATTGTTGTCCTTTTCCCGCACATCTGACCTCCATACTGTACATACAAAAAGAGATTCTTAGCTCAATGGGCTTTACAGGGGAAATAAACTTCCGACTATGATTCTACGACACGGAAAATTCGCAGCACACCTCCGTATTGTTACACGGTGCGCTGCACACAACCCTCACCTTCCACGCTGTGGAGAAGACAACTAGAACCTTGCCCAGAAAGTGGAGTGCACACCCATATCGTGAGAGTACGGGGCTGGTGGGGAGTGGTGCAGTACACAGCCATCTCCTCGCCCAGCCACAGCACCCTGCGGTCCACCCGGCACGCTCGACCACTAGGCGCCCCTGCCTCGAGGTGCCCGCGAGGTCGTGGCTGCGCGCCTGGCGCGTGGATCGACGCCACGGCGGCTTTACGAGGCTATCGCGTTGCGCAGGTGCAATTGCTCCGGTCACCCACTAAATTCAACCGCGGACGCATTGTTGGAAGGTGAGGCAAGAGAGACATTGTCGACCGTCCCTGTCCTCATCTCGTTCAGCTCACACGAGTTCCACAAGAGGCCGCGACAGCTGCAGCCGCTGTAAGTCATCATGGGCCGTGATCTATCAACCGATGGCCCCGCCAAGCCGGCGCCGTCACTCAGGCCCCGCGACTCGCCGAGGATCGTCGAGCGCAGCGCTCTTCTCTCATTTTCAGAGGTGGGGGGGGGGGGGGGGGCACTTTCGCCGATAAGACATCACCATTGAGGGCCACCACGCATTTGAAACCACTGGGATTTGACAGCAGCACGATGGTGATGGGGGGGTGTTGTCACATTGTTGGCCGTTTGGCTGCGCAATGAAGACCGCTGCTGTCGCTCCCGCACACGAGCCGGCCAACACTGGCCAACTCGGCGGTGGGCGTCCCATCTCTCGGGCGTGTTTCTCGTTTGGTTGCCATTCCGTAGTTCGTCTTGACCATCGTCCATTATCCCTACGAATCACGTGGTGTCCTGCCCAAGCACGCTTACTCTCCCCGACCGCTGTTGTCGAACACGCGTCTGGTGTCTCACCACGTGGTCCTCCTCCTCTCGGCTCCCGGTGTAATTCCAAGAATGTATCTCTCCAAGCTTCTTTGCGCATAAAAATGTTTTGTTTCACGTTTTTTTTTATCGCCTCTTGATCCACATCATAGGAGGAGGTGCTCAGGTTAAAAACCGTTCTAGTCTAGACAAACTGGTTTGTATGTACAGGTATGTTGACCTTCTTTCGCACCGTACGTTGCCAACCGTGCTAATGGGAGGTGTGGGGGAAAGACAACAAACTAAATACAAGCATGAAGTTCAGCTTCCCAAGGCACTCCAACCTCTTGTCCGGCTTTGGATGACATCACTTTGATCCTGGTTTGCCTTCAGAGTCTGCGCCATGATACTCACGGTTCTGCTTTGTTCCGCATCCCTCTGACGTCTTCAATTGTTTAAGCTCAGTTTTTATACAGCCGCTGTCATTAAAATGTATCGTTATGGGATAATTAAGAATTATACAATTTATTTATTGGAAAAGGCACCGCCGAGTCTTTTAGAAGAGGGTCCTGCATTGGGATGTTCTCCTCGTGGCTGCGTGGATTTTTCTCCGGGTCCTCCGGTTTTCCCCTCCACATTTAGAAACATGCGCTTCAAGTATTTTTCTGCTAAAAATGTACACATGTTAAGGCACTTCGTTGAGCTATCATTTGTGGCCAGGTCGCTTTTGACAAAGATCTACATAGCTCAGTCGGCCTTAGCTGGTAAAAGAAAAACAAGTTTAGTTGAGAATTTAGGCCGGTTCACTTGTAAAATAAAGTGGCAACTGGACCCTCATGCCTCCCTCTCGCCAGCTCACTCCCCTCGGTCACGTGAGTGGCAGCGCCAGTCCATGATGTGACCGGAATAGACTCAGAATGAGTACCAATGCATGGATTGATATTTATTTAGCAAGGTCAATGACACGCTATGCGGCCATGTACACAGTGGGTGGCTGGCTCATCCTTTTGTTCATCAGGGACTGATAAGTACCAATATGTGGAGATAGAAAGGTGCTGCTGCGATGCATTCGCGCCGGGGCCACATGAATGTGGAATATCCACCTCTGGCTTCGTGTTGTAAATAGATGTAAACGCGTAACGTCTTTGCCTGCAACTTATTTAACTTAAATACATTAAATCTTCCTGCCAGTGCTGTACCCCAAGTGAACACGGCCTCAAAACGTGTTGTTTGCAGTTGCGTTGTCATCTCGTAGCGCTGGGGTAAAAGAGACAAAAGCGGCCGGGCAGGGCAAGGGCGCGCGAGTCGTCCTACAGCAGCCGACACGGAGAGCCTTAATTGGGCGGCGTTAATAACAACAGCAACAGCAGCTACAATGTGCTGCGCTCGTAAGGCGACAGCCCGCGCCCACACGGGAGCGGCCTGGAACCACGAGGTGGTCCTTATCTAAACAATGGGGGGTGGCAGCGTGGCTCGCGTGTTTTACCTCTATTTGGATGCACGCAACCGCCGCCTTATCGGCCGCTCATCGGCGCTCGATAGGAGCGACTTTAAATAGCCTTGGGGCAAGAGGGGGCAGCAGTGGGGGTGGTGGAGGGGGTTGGGGTAGGGGGGGCTGAGGGATAAAGGGGACAGGCCCTGCTCTGGGAACAAAAAAATGCTCCGGTCGTTACACGCCTGGCAGGTGGCTGCATTTATTCCGATAAATCAACAATCAAAGAGACAAATGAACGTCGAGTGTCGTTACGTCAAGGTCAAAATCAGTCCTGATGACCAATAGGCAACCCTCACCGTCTGTCCTGTTTCTATATTAGTTTGTATCGGTGGAAATGGCAGTTTTGAGAAAATCCGACGTGATGTACTACCGACTCCTCATTGTGAAGGCCTCTCTCATGTTGACATCTACGTGACCCACCAACCCCGAGAAGTTTCCGACTCAAAGGTTCCCCACAACGAGCCATGCGAATAGAGCAGTGATTCGCAATCACTTGGAATCAGTGGAATTCATCGTGCCAATCCGTGATGTACGTCAGAGGCGCCCCCTCGAGTCACTCAAACATCACCGATATCACACTGCCCGCCCCCTCGCACTCACATCGCTCTCTCATCGCTCTCCACACTTCCAAAGCGTCCCTCTTCAGTCACCCTCTCAAACCTCACTCGTATCACCCCCCCACCAACCTCGCTCTCGTATTGGCCTTCACAATGTCCAAGCGTCAAACGTCTCTCTCCAAACCTCACTACCAAATCACGGGACAGTAATCCGACAGAAATGACGCAGTCTGACCACGGCTGCTGGCGGTCGAGCTTTGCGAGTTCCTGTCTTTATTGGACAACAACAAAAACCACACGCACCAAGTATGGCTGTCATGACATGAAGCAGAGCTCTACGTGTTATCCCTTCCCACGTACATTTCACAACGAAGAAGAAATGTGGGTCTGCCAGTGACAACCCTCCCGACTGGTACACGACGGTGCTTGAGACGCACAACCCTGTCAACACCAACGCGGAAACAAATGTACAAAAGACATCGAGGTTTCCATAAGCATCACACCAAGAAACCCTCGCGAGTCAATTCCCGATTGCACACGACTTCCTACATTACCAAACGTTAGCTGGTGCGGCAGAGCATTCAAACAAAACGAGGACCGAGGTTGATCCTGCTATACCTCGCACACAAAGCAGACGAGTAACTCCCGGCGTGCATGGCGAGAGTCAACGCCGGGGCCGAGGCTCGCGCTAAACACAACTACTCAGATTACCCTCACATTTAAGCAAAAGGTTTGCGGAGTCTCGTTAATAGATAGGAAGCTTGAGAAAGTGAGAAACATTGGCTCGTGTTTCTCACGTTCGCAGCTTGACAGTTTTCCTACACCAATGGAATAAAATGCAAAATGTGAATTACAAATAAAACCCCCACTAAAACTGATTACGTCGTGGCATTCTGAGATTAAAATACGTCTCTGAAGGCTCTAAAATGAGCTGTTCCACCTGCACAACAAATTATTTACAATAAAATAATTCTGAACAAAAACAACGCCGCACCGTCATAAGCGCACTGCACCGTGCTGCAGGGCGAGCGTGGTACACTGCACATTCATAACACGCAAGCCTTGGTGTGCGCTATTTACATGAATGTGGAATAAATGTTATCATGCATAATTATTCCAACAAAACTAAGAAGATACAACATACCTACTGTTTACAAATAATAAAAAAATATACGGTAATCTCATCTCAATCGAGGCTGTAAGCAAACTCCATTCAGCCCAAGAAAATAGTTTGGAACACTGCTGACAACATGGGGTAAAGGTTTTTTCTTAATCGATTGCAGTGATCCCATTTTGTAAATTGCATTTTTCTCAATAAATTAAACACACATTCGAGAGTTGCGCAAAGCGGGACTGTGCGTTCGTTTTCTCATTCATTCCTCCGATGTTTAAAACGAAACCCACAGGAATGTGCCTCGGGGCCAGCATATTGGTACAGTGGAGCAGTCTGAGCCTCATCTCTCAATGTGAGCGAAGCATTTCGAGTTTTATGAGTGAAGGTGCCTCCTTACACTGGCTACAAGCCCCACATCACACGAGCTTTGCAGCAGCACATCTTAGGTTGAATGGAGTCCACGAACGCCCTGACCAGAATATAAAATTTCTGTAAATTTTTAAGACCAAATATCGTTTTACACCAGTGCCAATGTCAAGTACAAGACACTCTTTGGAATGACGTACACCCAAAATGAAAAGTTGTGACGATTACTTTAAAGAAACATTCACTAACTTGTGTTACATCGAGAAACCGTTCCTGCTCGTGCTTTGGTGTCACCACGTACCCCGATTGAACAAATCATAACGGCTGTCATGTTGCTGTGTATGCATCACAAGCACTGGCACGTATTTAGTGTATTGTTGTAATTGGCCTAAGCATCCCCTGTAGACAAAGCAATCTTACGTTTGTAATATATTGCTGCCATGGGTAAATTCAACACAAGAAGCCAAAACAGGTGTCTGACACTGCCTCATTTCACGAGCACCTAAATGACCCCACGAGTAAAAATCTACTTTCCAAAACAGGGTCATGTGCTGGGCATGTGTGCGTTACGCAGCTGTTATTCGATTCGCGTATCTCTCTCATTTGACCTGCGTTTCATTATTTAGGTGGACGTCTTTAGGTAAAGACCATGCATCCACGGGCACTTTTGTCCATTACTTGACCAACAAACAGAATAACTAAATCATACGGGTGCGACGACTCGACTCGAGTCTTGACAACGAAACTGCGTACAAAAAAAAAGAGTCGAAGTCAAGTGGAGCTATTTGACTTTCACGTGGCAACGTGGCGAGACGTGGGCCAAAGCGATGAGATCATGGCACGAGTGTGGAGGGCAGAAAACAATCGACATCGGTGAGACGACGAACACCATGCTCACAGCACAAGAGCAAAGCAGGAATGATGACGATGCCACAGTTCCTGTAGCAACCACAAAGCGTAGGCGGTCACGAGATGCGCCACCCTCAAACACCAAGGTGCTCCACCAAAGTTCAAATGTTTATGAGAACCGCAGACCCAGTAAGTGCCAAATGTAATTTTGTTTTTGTCTGCACCATGTTCCGAGCAGCTCACCTATCCAAATATTGACTTAATTGTACATTTAAATAAGTCACCATTTATTTTTTGTTATACATTTCCTTTAGAATACTACATTCGACATCCCTATAATTGACTCCATTTGGCTAAATGGCAGTCATTCCTTCATACTTTACAAGCGTTCTATTTTTGGAAGTAATGTGAAATGCAAACGTGATCAATTCCTTTTCACTTCCTATTCCTATACAACACACCATGCGTACATACGTGTGGAGATAAATTACTCTTCTGGACAGATAGTATAATAATTAGGTGTCTCTGGCCACCCTCGTCAGTAAAAAGTGAAGGAACCCAGCACAGGCAATTGAAGCATTCATGAGATTTCTATGTGAGACTTTAGCCACTGCAAGTACTTTGAACCGCACATGAATATAACATGTACTTAACCTTCATGATCCAATTATATTCAAAGCCCAAGATTTCTAAGCGACTGAACATTTTTAATAGCAAAGGATAATGCTTAAAGTTATCGATCAATTATTGCTACTCCAACTCCCAGGATAAAAGGACACATTTTAAGAGTGGTGCTCTTAATTATGGAGGTAATGCTTGAGGAATTATACCTCTACATAGAAAGTTTAAGCTCTACCATTTACCATCGAATGCAAGGGTGTGAGTTTACAATCAGGCTTCGATGAGGCAGGTTTCATTCTGGATGAACTGACTGCAGTGATAAATTAGATTGACATCAGTTTTCCACACTTGGCAAGGGAGCTGTGATGGGCCCATAATTAGGATTTCAAGTTTTTTTTGCGTTAACGATATTATGACAAAAATATGCGAAAAACATAAACACCCAGCCGTGTCTCTGTATCAGTGACCGATGAGCCCTGGCGTTGGTGCCTCAATGGCTGCTGCCGACCAATCACATTTGAACGTTCGTGCCGATAGGTTCAACCATTACTAACATTGAACAGAATTCCGTAATGAATTCCGTGACTTTTGGAATCCATATTCGATTCTGAAAACCATAACTGAAAAACTGATAATCGATAAATAATCCTAGCAAATACCCCAAAACATTTAAGAACTAACATAAGTCAGAAACCTAAATATCAAAGGTTGAACATGTGCTGTAATTCCATGGGAAGAAAAAGTTTTAGTCTCAGTGACCAGTCACACTAAATAAGTTTAAAAAACTTTCCAAGGTTACTTTCCATAAAAATACGAAATAGCTCATCACATTGAGCCACAGTCGACTTACAGGCCCAAACTAAATAATTGATCAAAGCAATTTGGAAGAAAACAAAAGGAAACTCTCACATCACTGGAGTCTCAAAAGTGACATCACAGTAACAGTAATCACCTTATGATATGGTTAAGTTACAACTGTCTATTTGCTATATGCTATCTGGGGTTTTTGACTTTCTGCTTACATCTCACTGACATGCAGGTATTTCACTTATTCCCAATTCACTACTTTTTAAGTGGATTCATGGCCAACATAAACACAGCACCAAGGAGAGCTTCATTTACTCAACCACCACCAAAGATGCAAGACTATACGTAGTGGGACTCCCACACCCAACATACAGAGTGGTGGGGAACACAAACTTGGCCTGGAGGTGAAGGGTAGGAGTCTATCACCATCACAGTATAAATTCTACCGCACCTTTCACAACACACGTTGAGAGGTGTGCCGCACTCAACACGAGTGGACATTGTTTGCGTAGCATACAGTGCGGCAATTCTGCTTGTGTTATCAGGCTGGTCTCGCTCGTGTGGGAATGAGCACATGGCAATCTCACCACAGGGTGGCACCCGCACACCGTAGAGCTCACACGCCCACAATACTCCTTAATGCACAGGACGCGCATCAATTCACAAATCTTAAAAGTCCCGCATGGCAGAGTCCGCATCGATTTCAACCAAAGAAGCACAGGCACCAAGACAGAAACTTTCCAAATCATCCAGTAACCCACACCAACACATGTGGACTCATATTGCACACAATCACTTAAACATTAAGTTTAGTTGTTGAGTGACATTCAAATGCATATATTTAGCTTCAGCAACCTGCTCTACTCAAAATCTAATTTCTATAAAAGTTTGCAAAATGTAAGCCAAAGGCTGGAACTCATTTACATTGCAATATGTGGTGACCATCGGTCAATGTAAAATGTGTAAGATGAACCGACGGATCTCTTACATAACTGACCAAAAATGAAACAATTGTTTTGGATGATCCTAATGCATGAAAGTTGCATCCAAGGAAATAAAACATAGCCTCCTTGCATTGTATCTCATGCATGATCTGAAATAGAAACCTCACCATAGGTCACAAACCAGTTAAGGCAACAAGTGACCTTTTCCTTTTAATGTGCTGTAGGTGGGTCACTGCGACGAGCATAACTGCACAATTTGTGTGAAATTATTCCAGTGAGCAGTGGATGATCTGCGTTGGCTAAATCCAAACGGAAAATTATGCCGAAGCCCAGGGAGAAAACTTTGTATCGATTTCCCACCTCCTTTACTATTTTACGACCGACAAGCGACGTACACCACCGCCCCGGCAACAAGCGTCACTGCGGCAATTGAGGCCGCGGCTGGAACGGACAGATAGGGTCGCAGGTTGGCGCAAGCGTACAAGCCGGCACACAGCGCAAGTGTGAACACTGGGATGACGAGCACGTGCAGGCCGACCGACGTGCTGCCTGCCGCGCCCTGCTGCGGAACATCCGTCGGCTCGACTCTGCCGCCCTCTGCAGGTCCCGGGCTGCCCCCCATGGGCCCCGTGAGGCCACTGGTGGAGCGCCGCGCCAGCTGGCAGTGCAGCACGGCGTCTGCGGCAATGCCCAGAGACTCGAGGGTGCGCTTAGGGTCTCGAAGTAGCTGCCCCCGGTAAATGAGCTTCACGTGCTCCTCCTGCCCAGGGAAGTGTGTCCTGGAAGAAAAAAACTAATATGTGGGTGCGGAATCGCGAAAAAACATTCTTAATTAGGCATAGGATAAAACGAGTCCATTTCCATCAGGTAACTTCAATCACCAAGATAAAATAGTTTAACATACAATTCTGCACCTTCTGACTGCAACAAAAGCAGTATAACAGCCTTACATTATATTAAAAACAAATTAAATGCTTATATTCCAATGTAAAATTCCACATGCAGGTTTTCATTTATAGAAGACGTAAAACCTTTCTCTGCTGCTAATGTTATCTTGGGTAAATTCACTCCTAAACAAATGTGAAAGCAGAGCGCCGAGCTCACGTTTTAAGGAAGGCGATGGTGTCTTCTGGCATGACACGGATGACCCTCTCAGAGTCATTCAGAAACTTGAGTCGAACCTGCACATCCCCGGGTCGCACTTCACGGGGGTCGCTGCGTGGGCTTTCAACCTCGCCTGTCCCGCTGCCCTGCGTCGCGTGGAGCCGGGTCCTCTTGCGAAGGCCCGTCACATTCAATGGATCCTCCCTCCCTGCCGTCGCCTCTGCTCCGTCATCCATCGGCACAGAGGCACCTTCCGCCCCGTCGCTGGCGCTAGTGGCGTCAATGGAGGTTCCGTTTTGGCTGCGAGCACCGTCTGAGGAATCGCCCTCTCCCACTTTGTTCCCAGTGCTTCCGTCGCTCTCTGTGTCACCCCCGCTGGCTTGCGGCTCAGCCGGGGATCGTGCCGGTGCCACGCTCCTGATCAAGAGGGCGCCGGGTTCGGCCGACGTCGACGGCTCTGTAGGAGAGGCGGCAGCGCTGACACCGGTGGAGGAGCCGGAAGAGCCGATGGGTGAGCTGCTGACGATGGAGCGGAAGAGCTGCTCGGAGCTGTCCTCCACATAGGTGGAGAGCCATGCGAGCACCAGTGCCACGGCCACGAGCACGGCTGCCAGCATGGGGCCCGGCTCCACCTCCTCCCAGCCCATGGCAGGAACCAGCCAGCGCTGCCCTGTATGGCGTAAGAGCACAGATGTGTCATTTCACACAACTTATTTCACACAAGCACAGACATACACGATAACATTCCCCACTTTTAGACGCAAAGTAGGTGGGAATCACAACACTTAACAGGTAAGATGACAAAAATAAGGCACATGCAAATTGGCAATTCCCCTTAAAAATCTTTATCCCAGCCTTCTATCTCTTGAGGTAAAGTATCAGTCGGTGCACAAAGCGCCTTCCTTATCAGTGAGCTTTCTCTACGGTTTCAACTGAACAGTATTGTCATACTCACATGGACTGTTTACACAGGGCAAGATACGAGGAGAGTATTTCAAATGTGCAATGTATGCTTTACAGTGGCATTTGGCTAAAGCGATTAAACTATCGCCTTTGCAAGAGTGCCTGACTGAAAAAATATATGCGCTTTCAACACACATTGCCAAAATACAGTTAGAAAAGCAATGTTTTTATTTTGGGTTTAATAACTCTAACAATGCAAACATGTTTAACCACCAGTTTTATATATGTATACAGAATTATCGGAAGTCCTGACTTCATTGCACCCAGAACTCACAGAACATCAAACAATACCAGCAATGAAAATTCTACTCATTGTAAATGTTACTCCTGATGTGTGCTAACCTAAAACCTCACCAAAATAGAAGATGTGATGTGCAATTGCTAATATCTACCAACTTCAACTCCTGGAGAAGATTGTTAAGGTCTGGTCTCATTTTCACAAAACTCACTTTTGTGATAAGATTGGGTTTTGTGATTGGGATGGATGATGTCGGTCTTTAAACTGCAAATTATAGCCTGCCAGGGCAAAGTTATTTGGCTACGTTGGTAAACATGAACACTTGTTTATATCTGGTACACTCGTACTTGTAATGGTATTATAGCAGAGATGAATCCTGACAATGTGACTAACAACACGTACAGCTTTTTGTTTTACGATTTAAAAATGGTTATCACATTCTATATTGAATGTCTGACAAAGGAAGAAGTCACTTGTGAATGGGCTAAACATTAACAGACAACAAAGTAAAGCTCGTGAGATTGGATGAAATGTTTACTTAAAAGACTGATAAATGCCTAACAGTTTTATCTCCGATGGGTTGACTCAAAGCGGATTGAGTCAACCCAGTTGAACTGGTGTTCACCAATAATCAACACCATAACTTTAATGTCGAGTTTAATTCATATCTAAGTATGCATTCTGCTCTGAAGTAAACGTTGACGACTACACGATTGTAACGTTCATACTCTAAGGTTATTTCGGTAAAGTCACGTAGGTAAAAATAAAAATAAATAATACAAATAATAGAAATAAAGCAATAAATCACGACGTTTCGGAGGCAACACAAGTCTCTGTCATCAGGTGGGACCGTCACAGCTAAATTTACTGTATCAAGTGATACAGCTAAATTTGCTGTATCAAGTGAGGATAAATCTGTAAATTTAGCTGTGATGGTCCCACCTGATGACGGAGACATGTGTTGCCTCCGAAACGTCGTGTTTTTTATTATTATTTTTTACCTACGTGACTTTACCGAAACAACCTAAGAGTGTGAATCCTTGCAGTCACGAAAGCTTCAAATCTAGGATTGTAACGTTAAGGATAGTTTGCAATTGTGTGCCGACATACTAACACAGATTACCTAAAACATCATAACCACATCATTTTAGTTACTCGGGCCTACTTTATGAGTTATATTGCACTACAAATAACATCATTAAATTAGATTGGTCATTACATTGGTCACTAATGACAATCATGTCACCATTACAGCACATGCAACTATTACAATACAAATGGCCGACCAGCTCTGAACCAATTTCTCAACCACATGAATTACATAAACCCAGCCATCAAATTCACCATGGAAGTGGAAAAGAATGGCAAGCTACCATTCTTGGATGTTTTAATCGAAAATAGACCAGATGGCTCAATGGGACACTTTCTACAGGAAAACCACCCATACGGATGCCTACCTAAAACCTGACTCCCACCACCATCCATCCAAGAAGAATACCCTCATCAAAACTTTACACCATAGAGCTCGATGCATTTCCGACCATCATCACCTAGCCAGTGAACTGGAACATGTACACCAGGCCCTCAAGATGAATGGATATTCAGACCACACAATCCGTAAAGCCATCACCCCAACCGTTGGGAAAGAACCATCTGAGGACCCAATAAAAACCATCACCTTGCCATACATAGCGGGGGTCACCAAAAATATTTCCAAAATCATGAACAAACACAAGATCCAGGCTCGATTTAACACAGTACATAAAATTCGTGATCTGAACCTATCTGTGAAGGATGTGATCCCTGAAAAGCAATACCCCGGCATCTACAAACTAAGCTGTGGCTGCGGCAGTAGTTACATTGGGGAAACTAAGCGACATGTCTCGGACCGTGTTCGTGAACATAATGCAGATCTGAAACACGGTAGAACCAAACCTCAGCCGTGGCTGATCATTGTTTTAACGCTGTGGGCTCACACGAAATGGATTTTTCTAAGACGAAGGTTCTTTGCAAACCCACTGGCTATCAACAAAGATTCGTTCATGAAGCCATCCAAATATAGACACAATTTCAGCCGAGATGGGTACAAATTTAGCAATCATTGGAAGGACGTTTCAACCAGCTTAAGTCATAACTGTCTGTGGTGTTCACTTCCTGCCACCTTCCGATATTAATTTTTATTTTTTCCCAGTGGCTTCGGCTCTCCGATTTCACATTAACATGCTAATTTCTCACGTTAGCATCACTAGCCGAGCCCACTTCTGCATTGAGTTTTTTTTTGATTATCCGAATTCCTCCCATAGCTAAAATAATATACAATGTAATTGGTATTGGCCAAACATCAAAATTAAGAGAAGTTACATGCAATTACTCAATTTGGATTACGCATAGCAACATCGCCATCTACTGTGGAAACGTGAGAAGCCTCCTGAAAAGGACATGAGACTGTGACGTCTCCTGGGTAAATAAGCGGAACTCTAGAAGCAACACATATATCATATACACATTAGCAGTTCTTATTATAAATGATGCTAGTTATAATAGCAATTGTCTTTTGATCAATATTATGAATCAATCGTTTATGTTAAAACTGTTATTGACGTTGTGGTTTTACCGTCAATACGACCGTTGCTAATGCACTAAATGTTTTAACCCATAACAGTATTAGCTTATTTAGCATTTTATATAGCGCTTGTGTCAAAGCGTTTAACAAGAATTGTAAATTGTACATTAATATTGGCTGATGGGGAAATGGGATGGGGTGAGAGGGTTGGGGAGGGAGTTGATCGCTGCTGTAACAGTTGTAATCAGCTGTTTTATACTGCAGTTAATATTGTACTATTGTTATTTTGGCGGTTACTTATATTATCTCCTGAGACATCTGATCAGCGTGGAAGAGTAGGCCAACATACTCTCTCGACGGGGCTCTCTATGGCTCCCTGCAGTCGATGCGCTTCTGCCCGCAGTGGAGTCGGCAGGCAATTGCAGTGCTGCGCCTTCACCAGCGTTGTTTCTATCACTTCCACCTCCACCGACCAGCGTCCGGTCAAACAAACACCACGACCGACAAGGCGTGGAGAGGCATTCATCTAGCAATGCACTGATAAAGATGGGTACGTAAACAATATTAACATGATAAATGTAACTAACTAGAATTAGTTGCCGCTGTTGCCTGAAGAGGGGAACGCCTCAGGCCTAGACGCTTCGTCCTTCGGGCCCTTAACCACAATCTTTAACCGCGCTCGCTCGCCACCTCAAGGAGCACACGACGAGACGTAAAACACAACAGCGACTGTTTGAGAGGTAAATAAATACAATAAACACAACAACCCTGGCGGAGTCACGGCCCCACCGTGAAACGGGAGCGACCCGGATCCAAAACGCGTCACGACAGCGCCCCGGCCTCGTGACGTTACGATCACGTGGTCAACTGACGATAGACCACAACTTCTGGCTGTGGAGAAAGTTGCGGTAAACAATTCGTGGTGGGCTGCGCTCAGGGGAGTCACGGTGACAGCACCGACAGAAGTGACGGATTACGAGAGCGGGGAAATTATACGAATGAAAACACGGGCTTCTGGCCCAAGTCCAAAGTCAATCCCCTTGGAAGTAATTGGCACGTTACTATTAACATGTTATTATTGCCTCAATTGTGTTTTTATCTTCGTAGAACAATACGCATGCCATCCATTGATATGTATGTGCTGTGCAGAAGGCCACTGCCCGAAACATCACCTATTTTGTTGCTTTAAAGGTAGTGTTATTGACGAATGTGATTAGCTTGTGCACAATTGCCAACGCAAGCAGCATGTTTACTGTGGCTATGTGGGGTTAATGGTGGGTACCCTTGGCGCTTTATAGTTGAGCGGGTGAGCTAACTGCATGGATACTTGTGCATGTTTGACCACGCCGGGTTGGAGGATGCGGGTAGCACAGCAGTCGTGCGAGCAGGGAAGCGCATGGCAATGGGTGCTGCTGCTGCTGCACCCCCCGAGGCATAACCATCACTATCCAGGCTCGAACTTGCCCAGCCTCCGAGATCTGACGAGCTCGGAGGCATTCCTAGTGGGGTGAGTGCAGGAAACGCTTATTGGGTACAATTTGTATAAATTCGCGTGCGGATCGCGGTATTTCTGGGTGCACTCTGCACACATGCCAAGAGGGCGTAGCTCTGGCTGGCCACGTTGGCTCGGGATAGAAACCATATCGCGACTGCGGTTCTCACGATACGATTATCGCGATATCAGATTACCATGCTTTTTAACTTGAACTTCACATTTTTTTGTTTTGCTTTTGTGCTTTGCTGTACATCGTGTAATAACCAAGATTGCTTAAGAGTTATTTAACTACATTTAACTCCACAGCAGTATGACAATCCTGCCACCAGCCTTAATCATCATTGTAGCCTTACACTCGACATCACGCTTTTCAGGCACATGCTTAAACAAGCAATCATCACATCATGCCATTAATTGCGTAATGCCGTAAATAACTGCGAATAACAATTAGCAAAGCCACTAATGTAATGGAGTATAATGTTATTTAAATCTAAAAATAGTGTTATTTTGTGGGTATTTAGTTTGGGGAGATGGAATATTTCCAGATTAAATAAAACTATAATCCCGCACATGGCGATATTGTTGCAGAACGGACGATGATCGTGGGTCCTGATATATCGTAAGAGTGATCGTAGAATTGCCATATCTAGATTTGAAGCTTTCGTGACTGCAATGATTCATATTCTTAGGTTTTTTCAGTAAAGTCACGTAGGTAAAAAAACATAAAAAGTAAAATAAAATAAAAATCACGACGTTTCGGAGGCAACGCAAGCTTCCGTCTTCAGGTGGTACCGTCACAGCCACGACAGCTGTATCAAGTAAATGAGAGATTGCAAGAACTACCACTCCGTTTATATAATGGTTGGAGAAGATATTTTATTTTACTTTTTATGTTTTTTTTACCTACGTGACTTTATCAAAAAAACCTAAGAATATAATTGCCATATCGCGACCCGAGGCTTGCAGACAGAGCACGTGCTGCCTATCCACTGCCGGCAGGCGGCGCCATCCGCCGCAATGTCACAGAGGTCAAGGTTCACCGTTTACCCCGGAAAGCCCGAACGAACAGGGAGGGTGGCGATGTTGCTAACGTGTTGAATCCCAAATGACTGATTTGCAGGCCATGTTTCAGCATTGGGATGTTTTTTCGGCCATAGGAAGATGCCGGAGAGCCCGAAGGAAACGCGTGCAGATATCGAACCCAGCCCCTTCATGCTGCAGCCACTGCGCTACCCGGTCGCCCATGGTTTATGTCGACATGCCGAGAACACTCCGTGTGTACTCTATTGCCGAATGTCAAGCTGCGAAGACGCAGACGCTCACCGCCAGGAGTCGCAGTTTGTGAGAAATGATTCCCTCTTGGACAATGGGAAGTTACTCGACTTACACGAACAAAAGACGGCATTTTTTTTATACGAATCCTAAAACTTTGTTCTTCTGCTTCAGGGGAAACCCGTGTAGAGGACACCTTTGACATCTCCGACCCACAACAATGCTACATCAAATTCATCGTATAACCAAGTCAAGGTAATACTAATGACGCCAATGAACAACACAGGACATCTTCATGAAGGCTATTTGTTGACATCTTTAGCCACCTGCATTTTTGAGTGTTTGGAATGTCGGAGGACACTAAAGATAAAGGTGCAGCTCTGCAATTGCTTGCTCACACGACAGCTGATGGAAGGGCCTCCACTGGAGGGAGCTCTTGACAGCCTCTCTGGAGGGTATTTGGTCTACTCATCCATGCTGACCAGACAACTTGGAGGTGGTGGGGACACCCACACTTTAACCTACCACACGCAACCTGCCGATCGACTTCAGTGTGAACCATTTCTCCTGTTGGGTGGACAGGGATTTAAGAAACTTGCCCCAATGTTTCAACATTAAATACAGTTACATACACTCAAACTCGTGTTTACATAGTGAAGAAGGGTAAACAGATTGCTGTTTATTCTAAGATTCACATTGGCAAGGAGGCCCAATATTTACATTGCAGAAGTTAATTCATTGCCTACACACGAGGCTTGTCAAACATTTACGGTGGTTTTAGCGAAATAAATCGTTCAGTGCCACTACCATTTTCGAAATACGTTCAGAATAAAGATTTACAACATACGTACATTTCGCCGATTTAGCATTGCCATTTGGCAAGAATTTTTTTTTACAACGAGCAATGTTTAATATTTACTTATGAATCACGTACAGACACAAATACAACAAAGATCCCCCATGTAGCCTTAACAGACTCTTGGGGCAAGTGCTGTGAGTGAGCTCCTGTGAAGGCTGGCACAGCACACGAGGGGGTGGGTGGCCAGCACCATATCTGACTGCCTTTGTCTCCCCAGTGGTCATGTTTACACACTGCACCAAGTACTCATTTGAGGCTGAGTCGACCCAGCACCGGTTTAGAAAATCGTCACTGGTGTTGGCCGTGAGCAGTAATCGAACTCGGGTGGCCGGGTTTGTAGTGCAGCGTGCTGCTCCTGTGTAAACGCACACACTGGCACGCACATTACACAACCTCGGAAAACCCGTGCACATTGCAACACATCCATCACACAAGACCTATCGTCATGGCTGAACAATACTTCTGACATCACGACCACAAATAAATTAAGCGGAACCGAGAGTGGGCGTGCTATTGTATCTCATCCCATTATAAAAAAACCCATAAGAGCCAAGACACAAACCTACAGGATTATGCATATAGAATAAGTAAAATCTCTTTAAGTTTATTTTACACAATGAAGATTGCTTAAAATGTGGATGCTTTGGGATTTAACTTCTGAAAACACCCATACACCCACTTCACTCGTAAAGAGTGCTAAAACACATTAAGGCACAAAGTTTCTTTTACAGTGTTTTGTATTCGGCAATTGAAGAGCATTAGCGCTCGCATTGTAAACGGTGGAAAGGTAAAGGCACAGCCCAGCAATGTCTCGCTCACGCCACTGCTGGCAGAAGGGGCCTTTCCACTCGAGTGAGCTCGAGAGAGCCTCTCTACAGGGGATTTGGCCGACTTCCCACGCTGTCCACGCGTTGGAGGATGCGGGACTACCCACTCTTTACCCCACCACACGCCACCTGCCGTTCGCCCCGCTGCTGAGTACTCACATTTATAACCGTGAGGTGGATAGAGATTGGGCTGATGACTTCTGGACTTGACGTTAACACAGACTTCATCAGTGGCACTTTGTGCTTGTAAATCTTATTTTTACACAAAACATCACCTTCAACACACAACACACACACACACCGTGCGGATCTTGATTGCCATTCGCAAATAATCTCTTGCAGGCAACATTTTCAATCTGGTTGCATTTTCAAAAACGAAAACTTGTCAAGCGAACGGAAGTGACCACCAATGACTATGTCCGCGGAGTTTTGCATCCCTCTGAGTATGAGCTCCGTTCACTCACTCGGTGAATGTCCACGAGTGGTTATGAGGTCCGTAGCTCTTTTTTTTCTGTTCGCCAAAATGAGACTTTCCGTTTTTGAACAATAACGTGCATGCTCCAATAGTGTTACACCGTTCGTCTCAAATCGCACATGGACAAGTGTCTGGTGTCATCTTCATAACCTCGCCACCACGACCCGCTGGTGATGCAGCGTGCTTGGCATTGGCCCCGGTGCGGGGGATGGTAAGGGATCCTCTGCCACCCCCCCCCCTCTCTTAGTCGCAGGCATCGGTGCAGTTGCACCACCTGCGCACTCAAAAAGAGAGCCGCACTCATGTTGTCACCCACTTGGCTACCTCTGACCCCTCCTGCGTTTTCAGTTCTCGTTCTCCAACACCACGAGCTAGATCTTCAACTCTGCGGGGTTTGGCCCGTTGATGCTGAGGGGCTCCCCGTCGCGCCTCGCTCGTCCCGCGATCGTCGTCGCGGTGGCGATGCCGTTGGCACACACGGAGCCGTGCAGTGTCACGGCGGCCTCCTCCGCGGGCTCCACCCCAGCCGGGCCGTCCGTCTGGTCCAGCGACGTCCTGCGGATGTCGGCGCGGACTCGCGTGACGCTCACGCGAGTCCGACGGCCGGACGGGGGGCTCTTCCCCCCTTCCTTGGGGAAGAGTTCCTGCGCCTTGGCCACGAACGCGTCGGCCATGTCCAGCTCGACGAGACGGTCCTAGGGAAGCAGCAGCAGCAGCTTAGTTTAGTTTTATTTGTATATATTTTTCAAGTGATTTATTTACCTTTCTAATAGTTGCACGCCTGTCGTGTTTTTGTGTTATTTGTTGCTGTAACGTTCTATCCCGCCCCTACTGGACATCTGTGAAAAAGAGCTTTATAGCTGGATTCCACCAGTGTAAATACATATTCAGATTGTGAATACGTGAGATTTGGTCACGTATAAACCGACGCTATATTTGATCGTCTTCATGTCGGTGGAAGATGTACGCCCAAGTTGAAGGCCCTTGGCATGCGGAGCAGGCGGGGTACTCACGAGAACGTAGACGTATCTCTGCGGCGTCTCGTGCAGCTTGTCGAAGAGGTAGCTGCTGCGCTTCAGGGTCAGCAGCAGCGCGCGTGCCCGCCGAAGGTTGCGGAAATCCTCGGGACTCAACGCCGCATTCACCCGCAGCAGCTCGTCCTCCTGGCCCGATCGGAATCCTGAGACGACCGCGGCATGCAACAGAGGCGACGTCCAGACAGGGAGATCACACACCGTGACGCTCGCATTCGACCCCTGGCCCATGAAGTCATGCACATTGCTTTCCAGAGCAGCTTCCACGCAAAATCGTGAAAATGTAATCAAGGAAGAGCAAACGGCTGAAGGCATAAAGCAATTATTGAACCAGTGCATTGACATCAGAGCAGATGACTGGGCTGAAGCGATCATGAATATCGGATCTCGAGATGTAGCCGCACTTTGATGCTTCGAAAATTAAAATTGTTTCTGCGTTGACAATTTCACTGCGAGTGTTGCCCTTTAGTTCGGTAATTTTGCCCATGTACCTTTCTGTGGCACCCCTGATATTATACGTGCATGATAAAACTTGGCGTTGATTCCTTGCCCAGTGATGTGCGTGGTGTGCGGAGGGTGCACGAGTCTCCGTTGACGAGGTTCGTACCAAGCTGCCCCAGAACGAGCTTCCAGCGGTCGTTAATCTCTCGTCGTAGTTGCATCACGGCGCTGAGTCGCCTGTTCAGGTCCGTCCATTCCTGTGAAGGGAAACCAATCGTAACTCTATTGCCCATGGGAATTTGTCCCATAACTATTAGAATACCGGCGTGTTTTCCGACACTGTCCCGTGCGAGCTGCGCGTGTGTGATAATTACTGTGACAGTGATAATAATGACGATCATTTGTTTTTGATACAGCATCTTATACGCTGGGCTGACTCACGGCGCTTTACATCACATCGCATCCCAAACATTTAAGAGGGCACCAAAGTGTTACTATCCCCGTGGACACAAGGTGCCTCAGCACGTGGTCTGCAAACGTAGTAGGCTTTCCTGAGCAATATCATTCATAATACAGGTTTTTTGGGTTAGATTGTGTAAATATATAAATGTGTCGTTAAACCCACTACCACCCGACACAGCCAATTAGTAAGGGTTGTCACGTAAACAGAACATGCCAATGCATTACCTGTGTAGTGAGTCCAACGTCGAACTCAGATTGTAAATGTTGTGACTTTGCTCTCCAACACACCGGTGTGCTGTATAAGCAGCTCTCCTGCTATATGTTTCACCTGATGACGATTGCTTGTGCGGCAATCGAAACGTCGTAGTAAAATAACAAAAAACTACTTTTTGATCGCAACACGAGCGTTGCGATCTTTGAACCGATCTACGTAACTTTACCGAAAGACCCAAAGAATATTAATTCCTGCAATCACGAAAGCTTAAAGTCAAGATTTGGACTTAGTCATTAACGTTGCATTGCAGCACCGAGTCACCCATTCATCTCCAGCTTGCAGAGAGGTGCACGGCAGTGTCTCTGCACCGTGTGTGTGTGTCTATGTCACACACGGCAGTGTCTCTGCACCGTGTGTGAGTGTGTCTATGTCACACACGGCAGTGTCTCTGCACCGTGTGTGAGTGTGTCTATGTCACACACGGCAGTGTCTCTGCACCGTGTGTGTGTGTCTATGTCACACACGGCAGTTTCCCTGCACCGTGTGTGTGTGTGTGTCTATGTCACACACGGCAGTGTTTCTGCACCGTGTGTGTGTGTCTATGTCACACACGGCAGTGTCCCTGCACCGTGTGTGAGTGTGTCTATGTCACACACGGCAGTGTCTCTGCACCGTGTGTGTGTGTCTATGTCACACGCGGCAGTGTCTCTGCACCGTGTGTGTGTGTGTGTCTATGTCACACACGGCAGTGTCTCTGCACCGTGTGTGTGTGTGTGTCTATGTCACACACGGCAGTGTCTCTGCACCGTGTGTGTGTGTGTCTATGTCACACACGGCAGTGTCTCTGCACCGTGTGTGTGTGTGTCTATGTCACACACGGCAGTGTCCCTGCACCGTGTGTGTGTGTGTCTATGTCACACATGGCAGTGTCTCTGCACCATGTGTGAGTGTGTCTATGTCACACACGGCAGTGTCCCTGCACCGTGTGTGTGTGTGTCTATGTCACACACGGCAGTGTCTCTGCACCGTGTGTGTGTGTGTCTATGTCACACATGGCAGTGTCTCTGCACCATGTGTGAGTGTGTCTATGTCACACATGGCCGTGTCTCTGCACCGTGTGTGTGTGTGTCTATGTCACACACGGCAGTGTCTCTGCACCGTGTGTGTGTGTGTGTCTATGTCACGCACGGCCGTGTCCCTGCACCGTGTGTGTGTGTGTGTCTATGTCACGCACGGCTGTGTCCCTGCGCGCGTGTCTCAGTTGCTCGGCAAGCTGAGCGACGAGCTGGTCGGAGGGCGAGTGCTTGTGCGTCGTGTCGTGAGGCTCGCTCCACAGAAAGGCCTCGTCGTCAAGGCGGCGCCGCTTCATCTGCTCCTGGTAGCACAGCACCGAGTCCGCCTGGGCATGACTGCCAGTGTGCACGCACACGCACGCGACCAACCAATCAATCAAAACTGTCAATAAATGACAGATCAATCAATGAATCAGCCTCTCGATGGATCAATCAATGAAAGCCATGAAAATTGTCTGTAGATTTCTTGTCGGAGAGTATTTGTCTGAAAGAGATTCAGTGAAGGGTATCTGTGTGTGTCTCTCTCTATTTCCATATTGCAGTTATCAGACAGATCTCAGCAATCGATTTTTTTGTGAACAGTATTAGAACCCAAGTCTTAAAGGTCATCAAAAAGTGACTCCTCATTGTTGCCCATATACTGTACATACTGTGCAAAGGTGAATGTGAAGGGGTCATCATGGTGATTGCCACTCAATAACTTTCCCATGAATAATTGGGATAATCTGAGCGGATCAAATTGGAATTACCCAGTGACTATTCGAATGAGATAACTTTCAAATTCCCCAAACAGTAATTATTTCCGTTTAATGGCCACTGCTATGCTCTGATTTGTGAGTCGTTTTTTAGAGTCAGGTTATGATTAAAGATGTATTTTATTGTATGGAATAAATCACGTGTAGCTTATGTCGATCTCTGTGTCCTAAACACATTCTTTTGACAAAATAAACAGAAAGTATAAATTTGTATCCTGCTCGTGAATAGGACTAGTTTTGTGAAATAACGAAATATATATATATTTGCACATCATATTGATGTTTTGCAAATGCATTTTATTCTATTATATTTCACTATTTTATTTACCAGGTAAAGCCCACTGTGCTACAGAAAGCTCTTTTTCAGAAGTGACCTGGCCACAAATGATAGCTCCACGAAGTGGCTTATCATGTGGAATTTTATAACAGCCAAATACTCTGCACGCATGTTTATGAATGTGGAGGAAAAAAACGGAGGACCCGGAGAAAAATCCACACGACCAAAGGGGGAACATGCAAACTTTGAATATACAGTACAGACGTTACAGTTGGGACCGAACCCATGACCCCTTGCATACCAGGTGAGGGAGATTCGATCTCGCCAATAAACAACACCTATTTGAAACACGGTGACTGATATAAACACACCTATCCAACACTTCCTTCTTTCTGCCAGATCCTGTAGTTGTTGTCACAGAGTTGAAACCCCACCTCAGTGACATGTTCTTACCGTAATCCACCTGTGCTCACAGACCTTTAATCTGCGGATGCTGCCGCTCACTCCTTTCGTAACCTGCCCCCCTCCTCCTCTACCACCCCCACCACCTCCTCCACACCCAAACATCCCGCAACCTTCACTTCGCACATACATCTACGCTACTCTCTCCCCACGTGATTTAGAAACATGCGTTATTAGGCTGCTATTCATTTTCAATTAATAAGCCACTTTATTGAGATACCATTTGTGGCCAGGTCACTTCTGAAAAAGAGCTATATAGCTGAGTGGGCCTTACCTGGTAAAACAAAAATGGTTTATAGTTTTATTTAGAACAAAAGTCGCTCACCACATCATTCCACACAATTTCTATCGTCCTCGGTTGCCGTTTCTAACTAAAGTTACCTCCACGTGCCGACAGCTCTGTGCTTGAAAAACAACGTAATGCACTTAGAGAAGTTTGCTATGTTATGGGCGCAATATATAAAATAAGGTTGTTGTTATTGTCACGGCATCATTAAAAAGTGCCGTTGTTTGCAAAGTAAGGCAAGAGAGGAGGGCAAGAGGGTTGGGACAGCAGCTCCCACGTGCGTCAGTGCCGTGGGACTCTCACCTAACGCTGGAAATGGAACACAGTGCTGACCTCCTGCCAGCAGCACGCAGCCTGCCTGCGTGGGCTCGCCCCAGCTCACAACTCCCATCAGCGGACCTCTGTGTCGGGAGCCGAGGTCTCCTACCCACACCTTCCCAAGGTCAAACTCCATTCAACTGGAGGCTGCCACTGCTCCACTCCTGCCGTCAGTCTGGAGCTCCCTCCCCCCGAGCCATCCACGCTTGCCAAGTCCCATGAGTCTGGCCTTATCCCTCTGCACAGAATTCATCTCTTTGCTCTGAACCTATGCGGTACAACAGTTTCCGACTGCACGATTCGTGCGGTACACACGGTAATATCTTCAACTACCCACGTGTACTACTCATGTACGGCCCTTTGTCAATCCGCTGCCGGATGAGGGTCTCCCGACGCCATGTGGGTCGTGAGAGTTATTTGACCATATTTGACCACGCAGTTCTGTGCGGGTTGGTGAAGTTGGGGATCATGGACTCGAGGACATAGAAGCACAGCACAACAAATATTTTTGCTGTGCTCTCCTCTGCTGCCCGCAGCGCACACAACAAGAGCCCAGATACCTATGACAACCTGGCTTGCATTTTGGTAAACCATCCCAGCAGCATCCAGGCTCCAAATTGTTTAGCTTCCAAGGTCCCTTGAGGTCGGGTCCACTCCACGCGATTTGGTCGCGGCATCCCACTGCCCACGCAGGTGTGTGTCTCGTGCACGTGGTCGCCGGCTGATGCGCTTCACGTGTGCTGACTGTACGCTTACTTGCTGAATTAGCTAATTCCTACGCTGGTGTCGCCGCCATGTGGATAAACCCAATCACATGAGCACCTCTGGCACTGTTGCCTCTTTGTTAAACATTTTCTGCTTACCGACTTTGGCACCGAGTTAATAAATAAATTAGGTCTCGATGAAAGCCCAAGGTTTTCCCACGTCTTTGTATTTTCAATTCCTTCCCTTGACTTTTACCACCACTGAAAACGAATTTCTTTAGAACTGCTGTTTGTGCTTAGTTTGTTGTCCTCCCACACCTCCGATGAGCACGGTCGGCCAGGTACGGTGTGAAAGAAGTTCAACATATACCACCCATGCCCGATGCCAATCACCCCATTGTTATTCACCTTGGTTATTTCAGTTCTAGTTGTTAAATGGGATACACCAATTGCAAAGCTAAAACTAAATTCAAACAAACAAAACGAGTTGTTCCAAGGGATTCCTCTGTGTGTGCAACAAACTCCTCAAAATCACTGCAGAATGGCTCAACGATGGCGACGTTTAAGCCTGCGGCACCGCAGACTGTGTGTGTGTATGTTGAACTCCACTGACGGTCCCAACCTCAAGCACTTTCTCCAGCCACAAATGAACCATAATACCTTGTTGATCTTGTCAAGGAGCATAAACCATCACGCAAACTCCGGTCATCCTCGCAGCAGTGGTCTTTGGCTAGCCATCGCGTCAAGATGGTCACCGCATCACGCGCTTTCAGATGCGCTTCTGCGGCAGTGTGCAACACTCTTCCTTCCGATTTTAGGTTGGCTACTGATGGTGCCTAAGAAGTTCAACACATCTACCTACATACATTCGCCAGCAATAAGGACATGCCTGCCGGCCAGAAACGTGTACAGTTGTACCGTGCACGCCTTGTCCTTTTGATGCTTAAGTTTAAAGAGCCACAAACCCTGGCTCGCTTGAGGCGGTGGCCATCTCCAGACTGTGTGCAGAATGTACGCGAGAGTGGTGATGTCATCTTGACATGCAACAGCATGCTGGGATTAACACGTAGCAGGCTTTCGCGACCAATAGCATCCATAATACAGGTTTGTTTTGGGGTTAGATCGCGTAAATATAAATGTGTCGTTAAACTCGCCACCACCCGACACAGCCAATTAGTAAGGTTTGTCACGTAAACAGAACGTGCCAATTAGTTACTAGTCCAGCACACCGCTTGTGTGTTGGAGAGCAACATTTTTCGTGTCACCCGGGACACGATGGCGATTTGTTTGTACCACGCATTCGGCACGAGCTGGGCAGCCATGGGGGGGGGGGGGGGGGGAGGGCTTCGGGTGTCCTCGAAACAAATCTGCTTTTACTTAAAAGCAGATGGAAGCAGAATTGCTTTCTGCATCTCAGCATATAAGTACTGTATGTACTGTATATAAAAAAAACAACCCATGTGCTTTAGTCCATCAGCCAGACCAATATTATCTAGCTGCTTTTTACAAGCAAACTGTGGAGGTGAAGGTTGGTGGATCACACACATGTTGTAAACTTGCTTCCCGTGGGCGTCAAATAAGTGCCATACCCTGGCTTGCCAGGAAAAGGCAGTAGAGCAATAACGTGGACTCCACCGGTCCCAACTGTATGGGATAAAGTGTTGCCCCCTCTCATGCATGAGTTTTTCCGGGTGCTCCAGTTTCCTTCCACGTCTATAAACACTCATTAATTGGCCGGTAACTGCGAATACAATGCGGCGCGTTACAAGTTGAAATGCTAAAGAAGGGATGTTGCGTGACTGTTTTCCCTGTGTCAAAAGCCATCCATAAGTGAAACATTTGTCAAATTGGTTTGTAAAGTCATTTAATGCACTTGACTGTCATTTGCAGGTACAGGCACAACAGGGAAGTCATTCTGAGGCTCAACCAGCTCACACACGATGCACGTGACATGGGTGCACTGGGGAGACGGGCTTGGACTTGCGAGGAGATAGGGCGTATAGTACAGCATCCGTGTACAGCGCGGTATTTGCTTTACAGCGGAATGTCACTGAAGTTGGGTTAATATCCTGTCGGCTCACGTGTGTGAAAGCATGTGACTCCACCAGCACCCCCACACGTGGCCAACATCAGGAACAGCCCCAGACAAACAGGGTCATGGTCCCGCGCTGCCTGCGTTCAAGGGGGCTCCACGGTGTACTACGCGAGACGCTTGTTAAGGCTCGCAGCTGCGACCTGGGCTATAAGTGGGCTCCCGTGAGGTGCAGGTGGGGGCCATGGTGGCTAGGATAAGTTAACTACCTCGTCTGGTATGCAGGAGGATGTGGGTTCGATCCAGAACCTGACTGTATATTCGCAGTTTGCGTGTCTCTCTCCCCGTGATTGCGTGGATTTATCCCCGGGTCCTTCAGTTTTCCCTCCACATTTGAAATCAACATCACGCTTTTTGAATATTTGGCTGCTATAATTTTCCACATTATAAGCTAATTCGTTGAGCTATCATTTGTGATAGCCAAGTCACTTGTAAAAAAAGAGCTATATAAATCAGTGGGCCTTAACTGGTAAAATATAACATTGTTTCGTTTCTTCCATTAATCGGAAGCGAACTGAAATCGGGGAATGCGTCGGCCGGCATTGCGTAGTTTGTGTCCACCTGCGGAAACGAGCCCCAGAGTCGGTCTCGTTGGGAAATCCGCGGCACGGCAAAGCGCGCCGCTCGTTAGGGAGGACGTGAAGCCGGATGTTCTGCCCGAGGATGCCGCTGTTTTATGGGGAGTCCAGGAGAGATGAAGCGCTCCGGCACGGGGTGTGATGCGTCCCTCGCCGCTATTTTAAAGAAGGGACCGCTTCTAAAAATAAAGCGTTACGGTGCTGGGGGTAGACTTACGCTTGACCAGCACAAGGCGCCCCAGGGCAAGTAGCCTGCGAGACCAAACCATGGACAAACGGCGAGGACAGATTCATAGCAGCTCTCCCTTCTACAGCTTCCCCGAATCTCTCATCTCCAAGCCCTAGCTCACGAAAGCTTTAAGTCAAGATTTAAAGATAAATACCCCCGTATAGCCTTAACAGACTGTAAGTGCTGTTAGCAAGCACCTATGGTATGCCCAGGACCGGTTCAGATGATCGTCACTGATGTTGGCTGCGAGCGGGAATCGAACCTAGGTCACTGGATTCGTAGCGCAGCGCGCGAACCATTACACTACTGCTTCCCATAATGGAAACACACACGAACGTACCCACATGCCAGCTTTGACAAGCAGGCAATTCACAGAAATGCGAATGCAGGACCCTCCTGAAAATTATTCCTGAGGTTCAGCAAGGCTCTTCTGAGTAGACAGGCAAACCACACCTGCTCCCATCATTCTGGGGTCCCTTTTGAGAATCGTAGGAAAATGTATTTGTTTTTTCACGGTTGCTGATCACAGGCACAAAGGACCAAAATGCCAAGTGGTCAGCAATAAACAGCACTATTGAAGGTGTAGTAAATAGGAGTTTATAGATTTATTGATTTGAGCGAGGTTGCTCGAAGAACTTCGGATTAAGAGATGATGGGAGGGAATACCAAAGCAAGCAGTGGTGTGACCTGCAGTGTGGCGAGTGGATGGGTGGATGAGCGAGCAAGCGAGTAGGGGAGCGAATGTGTTGTGACCTGCGGTGTGGTGGTTCAACAAAGCATGGACGAGAAGAAACAGCGAGTCTGGTGGACTTGAGTCCCCAACATCGGTGTAGGAATCAATGCGTGAAGCTCATGGGAACGGTCGCCACTATAGAGGACCCGTTGATTGTGAATGCTTCATGGTTGACGGTGCAACGTTGCGGAAAGCATTTGCAGGCAGCTGAGTGTACTTTTACATGAAGGCTATGAATGGCAAGAGCTTAACGACACAAATGCGTGCTTGAGTTTGATATCTCAATGAGTGCGTTTGTGGGAAAACCTACAGCGGAAAATGTGTGTGGTGAACACAAGCACCAGGGCAGAGACAGAGAGGCAGACACGCCTAGACAGAGTCAGTCTAGGGAGACCTAGACAGAAGCGGTCTAGGCAGACCTAGACAGAGGCAGTTCAAAGTGGTGAGCCGGGAGGTTGGAGGACTGCGGAGTGGACGACGAGATGGCAGTCTGGGGCAGGAATGAGTGGACGTGGAGATGACAGTCTGGGGCAGGAATGAGTGGACGTGGAGATAGCAGTCTGGGGCAGGAATGAGTGGACGTCGAGATGGCAGTCTGGGGCAGGAATGAGTGGAGAGGGAGGAGCAGGAAAGCAAACCCCACAAAGGTGGAGAAACAGGCCAGGAAAAAGAACTATACATTTTCGTTATAGACATGTTTAAATCAAACGTAACTCTGTGAGTTGCAAACGGACATAAGAATCGACGGGAATATGGACACGGTATGGAACCTTTCCCTTGTCATGATTCTGTATGAGTAAGTTATACTAAGTGATTAATGTCAGCCGGAAATAGTCCTGAACTTTGTTCTGGGAATTGTTTTTGGCATGCGAGCCACATCCAACTCTGGCTGCAAGAAATCAGTGTACGATAATAATGCATACAAAGGCTTTTAGAAATATAGGGTACAATAATACACAACTATTGTGGATAGCTGTACGTTGTACTCTAGCAGTAGTGCCTAACGCTGTTATAAGCCATGCTGCTCCAAGCCTGCCCTGGCAGCGAAAATATCGAGTGGTAACTTAAGCCCCTGGATTATATCACTACCCGGCTTCGCCCGGGACTTGGATTCACCACGCTCGGCCGCCTTTGTCTCCCCAGTGGCGATGTACACACACCACACCAGTTAATTGTTTGAGGCTGAGTCAACCTAGGGGTGGCCCAGGACAGGTTCAAATAATCGTCACGTCGACATATGTGACGTCACAGCTCACTTGCCGTGCAAAATCTCTGCATTGCCCCCCCCCACCCCCCACAAAATACCAAAGTGTATTTTTATAATTGTTGCATGGTGTACAGTCTGGAAAGTACCCACATGGCACATTTGCAGTTTGTCGGGAAGTATGCTAAACATTTTGGACAGACACACATTCACAAATTTCCCTTATTTTTAAATATAGACTTACTGTAGTTATTTTGCTGTGACAGTTTCACCTGAAAACGGAAGCTTGTGTTGTCTCCGAAACGTCGTGATTTTATTGTCTTTATTTTTATTAATTTTAATTTTATTTTTTTACCTACGTGACTTTTCCGAAATAACTAAAAGTATGAATCCTTGCAGTCACGAAAGCTTCAAATCTAGAATTGAGTCGGTAAACGTTGATGTGAGAGTGAACGACCTCTGGCCCTGCGTGGTATCGAGTGGGTGCCGCTTGAGGAATCTTACAAACCCCGCACCACACAGCAGCCCCCAGGGAGGCGACTTGAGGTGTGCAGGTGTCGTGGCCACTGCTGCTGCTGCTGCGGCTGTCCAACTCGCGTGTCGTGTGTACACGTGTTTGGATGTCGGCACGCGTGTCGTGTGTACACGGTGCTAAACTTATTTTGCATCGTACGTAGACAACCGCGAACAAACTAAACACAGGAAGCAGTTCTGTGCCTTTGCGTATTTGAGTGAGAGCGCGCGTGTGGGCCTCCCCTAGGCCTACTCAGCCTCAAATGAGTGCCTGGTGTGGCGGTGTGCAGTCAACATCGCCACGGGGGAGACAAAGGTGGCCGGGCGTGGTGCTGGCCCCCCTGTAGCCTGAACCGGCTGCAGGGGCAGCGAGTGCTGTACGAGAGAGTAGCAGCCGTGAAGGCCGGAGCGGCACACGGGGGGGTGGGTGGCCGACACCACGCCCGGCCGCCTTTGTCTCCCCCGTGGCGATGTCTCTACACACCGCTACACCAGGTACTCGTCTGAGGCTGAGTCGACCTAGGGGAGGCCCACACACGCAGTCTGGTTCACTCACTCGAGCCAGCCCGGCCTTCACAGCTCCACTCGGACCCGGCCCAGAGCGACTCGCCGTGGCTCACCTGATGAGGGGCTCCCTCTCTCCCGGCTCTTCTGGGGGGCAGCAGCAGCAGCAGCAGAGGCCCCCCCAGGACGTGCGCCCCCCCCCCAAGCGGCCCCCCTGGGGCGAGCGGCCCCCCATCCTCACGCGGCCTCCGCGGGCTGCCCCCGGGGCGCAACCCGAGCGCTTGAGGCCGCCGCTGCTGTTGTTGTGGTTGTTGTGGTGGTTGTTGTTGTTGTTTTGTGCTTGTTGTTGTGCTTGTTGTGGTTGTTGGTGTTGTGGTGGTGGTTGTTGTTGTGGTTGTTGTGGTGGTTGTTGTTGTTGTGGTTGTTTTGTGCTTGTTGTTGTGGTGGTTGTTGTTGTTGTGTGGTTGTTGTTATGGTTGTTGTTGGTGTTGTGGTGGTTGTTGTTGTGGTTGTTGTTGGTGTTGTGGTGGTTGTTGTTGTGGTTGTTGTTTGGCTGTGATGATGGACGCAGTGGCTGAGCGCTCTGCTGCGGCTGGTCTCGGTTCAGAGCTGCGCCGAGCCACGCTCGTGTCTGTCGCTGTATGTGCGATACTGTGTGTGTGTTAGTCTGTGTGTTACTGTGTGTGTGTTAGTCTGTGTGTGTTAGTCTGTGTGTTACTGTGTGTGTGTGTTAGTCTGTGTGTTACTGTGTGTGTGTTAGTCTGTGTGTGTTAGTCTGTGTGTTACGGTGTGTGTGTTAGTCTGTGTGTTACTGTGTGTGTGTTAGTCTGTGTGTGTTAGTCTGTGTGTTACTGTGTGTGTGTTAGTCTGTGTGTTACTGTGTGTGTGTTAGTCTGTGTGTGTTAGTCTGTGTGTGTTAGTCTGTGTGTGTTAGTCTGTGTGTTACTGTGTGTGTGTTAGTCTGTGTGTTACTGTGTGTGTGTTAGTCTGTGTGTGTTACTGTGTGTGTGTTAGTCTGTGTGTGTTAGTCTGTGTGTGTTAGTCTGTGTGTGTCTCTGTGTGTGTGTGTCTCTCTGTGTGTCTCTATGTGTGTGATACTCTGTGTCTCTCTCTGTGTGTGTGTGTCTCTCTGTGTGTGTGTTAGTCTGTGTGTGTTACTGTGTGTGTGTTAGTCTGTGTGTGATACTCTGTGTGTCTGTGTGTCTCTGTGTGTCTCTCTGTGTGTGTGTCTGTGTGTGTGTGTCTGTGTGTGTCTCTCTGTGTGTGTCTCTGTGTGTCTCTGTGTGTGTGTGTCTGTGTGTGTGTCTCTCTGTGTGCGTGTTACTCGCGTGCCTGTGGGCCAACTACGCCGAGCTCAAGGCTCGCAGGCTTCGAGCTCGCGGCACGGGGAGGAAGCCGCCGCCGCCACCACCCGGGGGGGGGGGGGGGGGGGCAGCAGCAGCTGAGTGGCTACTCAGCTGATGATGATGGGGCTGAAGTGGGTGACAGTGTGTGGGTGTGAGTGTGTGTGGGGGGGGGGGTGTGTGAGTGTGTGTGGGTGTATGTGTGAGTGTGTATGTGGGGGTATGTGGGTGTGTGAGTGGGGGTGTGTATGGGGGGTTTGGGTATGTGTGTGAGTGTGTGTGTGAGTGTGTGGGTGTATGTGGGGGTATGTGGGTGTGTGTGGGGGTGTGTGTGGGGGGTGTGGGTATGTGTGTGGGTATGTGTGTGAGTGTGTGGGTATGTGTGTGAGTGTGTGTGGGTGTGTGTGGGGGTGGGCGAGTGACCATACCGGTCAGCCCATAACCCCGTATGTTTTCGTCTGCAGGGAAATTGAGTTTTCAGTTCCATACGGCGGCGTACAGCCGTTTCAATACGGGCACAAACGTGTTGTTGTCTAATTGTGTTTCTCCCTTGTGATGGGCCTTTGTAGGATGACCGCTGAGATTTAGAAGGTCACGGGGTGACCAGTAAGGTCTGAATTGGCCTGCAGCAAGGTCGGGGGGGGGGGGGGGCACTGACCAGGGGTCAGGCGACGTGGGGAGTGTGGAAGTGCCCTTCGAACCCAGCCACCCGAGTTCGATTCCTGCTCATGACCACCGACACTGACGATTATTTGAACCGGTCCTGAGCCTCCCCGCTGTTGACTCAGCCTCAAATGAGAACCTGGTGCGGTGGTGTGTAGTAAACATCGCCACTGGGGAGACAAAGGCGGTCGGGCGTGCTGCTGGCCACCCACCCCCGTGTGCCGTGCCGGCCTTCATTGGTGCGGCTCGCTGACAGCACTTGCCCCACCGGTCTGTTCAGGCTGTAGGAGGCATCGTTGTTTTTGCGGAAACAAACAGGAAGATTACGGGGCAGACTTGGGGGCATCTGAGAGTCGGTCTCCGTGCGCGTGTGGCGCTGAGCTTGCAGGTCGCAATGCGCCTGAAAGGGGCCGCGTGGCGCGTGCGTTTGTCCGGCGCGCTGAGACAAAAGGTTCAAGGATATCGCTGTACAGTACATACAGTGCATGCAGTACTGTACAGGACAGTGTCCCCCACCCTCTGAATCTCAGTGGCCTGACGCGTTCATCTCCCACGCGGCTCGCAGCGCACCTGGTGACGTCACTCACCTGGGGGGGGGCACCTGTGGTGACGTCACTGGCGGGCCCGCGTCACGTGGCCCTCGTCACGTGGCGCTGTTGTTGTTGAACGCGAGCCGTGTTGTTGTTGTTGAACGCGAGCCGTGTTGTTGTTGTTGAACGCGAGCCGTGTTGTTGTTGTTGAACGCGAGCCGTGTTGGCGCTGTGCCCCCCCCCCCCGTGTTGTTGTTGTTGTTGTGCGGCGTTCGACCCGGGGGGTTATTGTGCCAGAACCGATTTGTGCCGCGGAGAATGACCAACGTTTGCGCGATGTTTTAATTTCGTCATCAAGTGGTGACAGATGCAGTGTTTTGTTGTTGATATTCTTAATAGTTTTTGGCGTTTCTCGTGTTGGTGACCTTGGCCACTCTTGCAAATAACACTTATCCTGGTGTGTTGAGTTTTCACCTGGTTAAACTAAATAAACGTTAACTTTTAAATGTATAATCGATATCCACGGCAAAAGCACCGCTGGATGAAGGCGACTCGCAGTGACGGGTCCCGGACTCCAGGTGTGGGATGTCGTGCCGCCCGTGCCACCTCTGTTGTCTTCACGTGTCTGACGCCCCCCCCACACACACCACCCCCCCCACACACACCACCCCCCCACACACCCCCCCCACACACACCACCCCCACACACACACCACCCCCCCCACACACACCACCCCCCCACACACCACCCCCCCCACACACCACCCCCCCACACACACCACCCCCCCACACACACCACCCCCCCCACACACCACCCCCCCACACACACCACCCCCCCACACACCCCCCCACACACACCACCCCCACACACACACCACCCCCACACACACTACCCCCCCACACACCACCCCCACACACACCACCCCCCTACACACCCCCACACACTCCACCCCCCCACACACCCCCCCCCCCACACACACCACCCCCCCACACACCCCCCCCCACACACACCACCCCCACACACACCACCCCCCCACACCACCCCCACACACACACCACCCCCACACACACACCACCCCCACACACACTACCCCCCCACACACCACCCCCACACACACCACCCCCCTACACACCCCCACACACACCACCCCCCCACACACCACCCCCACACACACCACCCCCCCATATCCCACCCCGACAGCTCCCACCTGGTCGCGCAGGTTTTTCAACTCGGCACTGCAACGAAGAAGCCCCATTGCCCGAAACGTCGCCCCATAGTTTAGTTTCCCCCCTGTTGGGGCGGTGGCATTGGCGAATGTGTTGGGCCCCTGTCTGGACGAGGGGTTGGGGGGGGGGGCTTCCTGTGCGCTACTCACCTGCCCCCCCCCCTCGTGTGTGTCGGGAGGCGACGTACGGCGCGAAAGAAGTTCTACTTCCACAATTTGGGTGCCGCGATATGGCGATATGGTTTATTTTACGATATACGACAAATCGTGGCTTGAGCGACTTGTCAACGATATATGTACAATACACAAATATAATATATCGTGCGATATACGTCTATGATTAATGTGTTGGGTTCCTGCCGAGATATATAACATCCACGGTCATCGTATCGTGTTTTATATGATGATCGTTCGTTTAATTTTACAAAAGGTAATTTCCCCTAAGGATTGTTCACGAAATAATAAATAAAATCACAATGCAACGTAAAGTACTTTACAGCAATAGATTTATCGCAGAATCTATCAAATGTGTTTTTGGTGAAACGCTACCGGAGCAATTGTCGGCATTATAGTTATATGCCATCATTACCCTAATAGCACTCATTAAACAATTAGTTTGTGACGCCCAGCGTGAGAGTTATACTCGTGATAGTTCGTGTGATGGCAATGATGATCGTGATGCTGATGGCAGGTTACGTTGAGTGAACTGCAGTTTGAAGAACTTTGAAGCGATCTCTTTGAAGCACAGCAAAGCGCAACAAGTAGACATGCCTAAAACCTAATAGTGACGAAGCTCAGGCGACTGATATCGCGATAATTGTCATATCGTGAATCGTGAATTCGTATCGCCCCGTGAGAAATTACATCGCGGCCCCGCTAGGGGGAGACACGCGCAGTGGAACCTTCAGCAGAGCTCTGAAGCGTCCACGTGCGGCGGTGTGGGGGTACATCTCGAGACGCGGCGAGGCAGAAGGTCCATTGCCAGAAACGTCGCCTCATACACCCGTTCCCCCTATCAGGGCAGTGCATACCGATGAATGTGTTGCGTGTCTGCTTATCCAGGGCTCCCAGAGTCGTGGAGCGGGCGGCCCCAGCACTGCGGGTGCCTCTGTGCGCGCCCTGCCGCTAGGGGGCGACAGGCGCGGGGGAATCTCGCGCAGAGACCCGCGGGCGACGCGGATTCGTGACGCGCCCCAGTGGGGCTGCAAATGCACGCAGGAGGAGTGATTATCCTGGGAGCAAGCGACATCGGAGTGGAACATCGGAAGGGTTTGTTATTTTCATAGCAGTCATTCTCGCAGCAGCGGCTGTTGGCTGGCCATCGAACAAAGACGGTCACTGCATCGCGCGCCTTCAGATGTGCTGCTTCTGCGGCCGTCTGCAACATTCGTCCCGGTTTTAGGAAGCCACTTTTACAAAATCTAGATTGAAAACGCATTTCTGTGGAACTGTTTTTGTATTTAGTTGTCCTTCCCCCGCACCTCCGATTGGCACGGTTGGCTACGTACGGTGGCAAAGAAGTTCAACATACATAGACAGCGGGGAGGGGAGAGAATCCGCATGAGAGACAGGGAACGAAGCCGCTTCCCAGAGAGTCACAGGCAGTGGAGGAGAGGAAGGACGAGACTCTTGACGTGCAGCGTGGACGGTATTTCGTGGGTTCAGTGAATTGTCAGCAGATTTTTTATTAACGAGGGTCGGGGATGGTAGAGGAGGTGGCGTCGCGGCGTCCGTCACGGGGTGTCGCTCTCCACGGGGTGTCGCTCGCACCTTGGCAGGCTGAGTTGTGTTTCAAATTCAGACGGCACTTTTTTTTTGTATTGAGAAATCACCTTCATAGTTATTTCATAATAATAAAAATGCGTTACCAGTAACTTGTGCGGCTTTTTAAGATGTACACGACTGACAAGAGCTCGATTAGGAGCCCTTCACACTGTTACATCTCACGGGCTCATGTTTTCTCTACCTCCGTCTGCTTGTACATCCACTGCTGGATGAAGGCCTCCCTCCCCACGACCCACACTTGGTGCGGATTGTTCGGCGTGACTTCCCCACTGAATATCGTTTACAGGTTTTAAAAATGTGAATTGCTCCATCTAGTTGGTTTGGTAATATTTCACAGTTTTTAATATTTTTTTAGAAATCGTGTTTTTCAGTCTATCTTATCTTGTATCTCGTGAAAACGGTGGTTTTAATGCAGAATTTTGCCGTGACTTTGTATGATATCATTACAGCTTAAATTTGTAAACAAAAATTACGTCTTTATTTGCCTGCGTATGAGACTTTAAAGGGTTAAATATCGACCCCAGTGGTGGAATATCGACCCGTAGTGGCCAATGTCGTCAAAAACGTTATTCCGGATGTATTTTAGACGTGTATGTCGTTAACTTTTACTTATTTACACGATTTACTTTGCACAAAAAATTCTGAAATTAAAAGTTAGATTTCAATTCTATATTTGAAGCTTTCGTGACTGCAAGGATTTATACTCTTAGGTTTTTTCGGTAAAGTCACGTAGGTAAAAAAATAGAAAAAATAATAATAGAACTAAAATAATAAATCACGACGTTTCGGAGGCAACACAAGCTTCCGTCTTCAGGTAGAACCGTCACAGCAAAATTGCTGTATCAAGTAAAG